GGGTGGGCGCGCATGCCTAAAATCGGCGCTTCGAGATTTCGGGAGTGAATGCCACCGTCTCCTTTCGTCGGATCTCGCGTTAAACGGTCACGGTGATTTCCCCAACACAGTGACGACCAGCCACGTGCCTTTGAGGCCATGGAAGTAGTTTCTTGAAGCTACTCCACCCTCATCCGTCCTTCTGCGTTGACGTTCACGTGCAGCGTTTGGAGCGCGTTTCCTTACTTATCCGCTCTTCTGCACTTGCTTCAATCTTCTTCCTCTGTCCTTGATACAGAGCCTGCATGTCCACGCAATCTGGTAACTCCGAGCAGCTCTCCAGCATCACGGCTTACCTGGAGATGGTGCCTTTATGGAAATAAGGTTGTCTGTGAGAGCGGGAATCTGACAGCACTGCAACAGAAACGACTAAAGCTACTTTTCTAGCACCTGCGAGGCTTGAAGCACCTGCTGCGCCTGTACTTGGCAGTTTTCTGTCTCAAGGGCAAATTAACCAGTGATGGCTATGGGTGAGGGAGAAAAGTGCAAAAAGGAGGATGGATGAACAAAAAAAAAAAAAAAAAAAAAGCAGAAAATTCATCTGAGATAAGGACCATAAGGCCAAGTGAGGCCTGGTGCTGAGAAAAATACAAGTACAATGAGTCCTTGATTTCACTGTGGCAGAAAAAGAAGGGAGGAGGCACTCATCAAACCCATGTTTTAATATGGATAGCAGAAGGAGGCCAGCTTTTGGTGCTAAAGCTGCCTCTGGTCTCAAAAACAGGAAAACTCAGGTTCTGTTAGGACTCAGACTGTCACTTGAACACAGAAGTTAAAATTATGGGTGATGCTTTTGTCACTGAACACCTTCCTGGTAAACTGCTCAGATCTCTAGTAAAGAAGGGCTGCCCCGAAGATCTTTTAGATCTAAGACCGAACAACTGAATGAACAGAGGACAGGTATCCTACCCCTCCTACTATGCATACATGAATGTTTTAAATGTTCATTTCCTCTTTCAGGTCTGGGAAAGCTGTCCATGCACATCTCCCAGGTCCACTGGAATAATGACTTGTCTCTTGAGCTAGAGTAATATATTCAGAATAAACCAGAAACAGCTGAACTAATTTTGCTCACAGGTTTTCAAGTTCAGCTTTCAGATAAAATTCAGCCCTAATGAAAGCACCTGAAGAAATTCTGTGCAATAATGCTTACTGTATGCTGTGCCCAATTTCCCCTTAAACGTACAGCCATTCAAGATCCTTTAGGCAGCTAGAGTAATGTATAAAGGCTTCTTTGTCAAGAACAATCACCTTACTGTATAATATATACAGTCTCACCATAGAGCTAGTATATGTTTTGTAAGACTACTTAACTGCACACTCGCCATGTAAAAGAAAAACCTCCCACCACAATATCAAGTGATTCACTTTGCATAACTATTAGTTTACAAAACAAAATTGGTTCAATAAGAACAAGACACCCTACATGCCACTGATGTAATTTTGCTGCTGAAATTTAGATTTTTTGCATTTCTTCAAATGAGAAAATGCTCCCTAGAAATATGAATGACCTTGGCTTCAATTTACTGATGTTTCAATGTGCCTAATTAGTTTTGCAATCTTCAGAGGAAGAAGATCTAACTCACTATTATAGAATTTAGGAAAAAAAGTTTAAGAAGCCATTTCTAAGATTAAATTATGTTGAAAGGATGTGTGTTTTCACTGAATACACATATTTTTCAAGCAGATTGCTTTAGCATCATTACATTCCCATTCATCCTGAGAGAAAAGTGCATTGCCACCATAGAGATTAAAGAGCTTTTTTTATGTTCAGAACTGATTGCATTTTCTTTTAATTTTTTTTTAAAATAAGACCAGCACTTCTAGTAGGATTATGCCTATACCTTGCTTAGTAGCTGAGCTGCCCCTCCCCGTTCCGTGGCCTACTAAAGTAGATGCTTGGGGGGGGAGGGTAGGGGCACCGAAGTTTAGGGCCCCCCCCCCAAGAACTCATTGCCTCCAGGGTAAACTTTCAATTACAAATGCCTTTGATCATTGCCCAGGAATGCAAACTGGAATTCCTAAAGGTGAAGTAATAGGAAAATTATTAGCCTATAAAAATAAAAGGAGGTGAATGGAACTGTTGCAATATTAAAATTCAGTTGTAATTTATGAAGTGACTAGAAAGGATGCTCTCTTTCATCTGAAAGAATGTGTTTATTTCAAATTATATCCCTAAAATGTCAACTGTCCTCTAATTCTACGAGCACAGTGCAAAAGTCAGGCACTGAGACAGAACAGTACTGGGTTTAATAATACTGATGCATATGGATATAGGTTCAGGCAGTACTAGATACTCCTCTGAGTCACATATGCACAGCTCTAACATCAGGAAGGCAGCACAAAATATATCTGAGGCTATATCACAGTATTTGGATAGGCAAGAGTCAAGCTTAACTTAAGTACTGATTATAGACTTTTTTTCCTCCTCTTCCTTTGAAAACCAAGCAGAATGGAACACAAAGATTAGTATCAATTCTGCCATCGCCTGCAGAAGTAGTTATTTTATAGGTGGGTGCAGCCAGCAACTACAATAACTTAGGGATACTCTACACATACTTAAATGACACTGGCCATAGTAATAGCTCTTTTTAGCGATTGCTATCCTCCACTAAATTTTCCAACAAGTTAGTTTACATAGTGTTGATTATGCTGATTGATGAGGACACCATGTATGGATGGAAACAATATTTTATAAAAATGGACCACAGCTTAGTTACCGTGGTTAGCATATGAAGCATTTTCATCTTTTTTTTTAAACTGCACTTCCCCTTCAACTACATTTCACAATAGCTTTGAAGTAATATTTTATGCCTGCCATCATTGGTATTTTTAGGGTTTTTTTCCTTGCATAATTCCAAAACTTAAGACATTATTTCACGTACTACCTTTCCAACTCTCAACATACAAAATCAAGTATGTACAGAGTCATTTGTGATAGCCCACCCAACACTCTCAGAACTGATATTTGTCTTTAACTTATGTGGACTATTCAACAAATGCTCTTGAGCATTTCTCTGATCTATCCAGCTGCATCTAATCTAAGGTGCTTCATCTACACCCCTCAACCTCCTTTTGGGCTGGAAGGTTAATGTTTTCCCTTCACAATCTAGATGCTTAACACTGGAAATCAGTCATCAAATTTTTCTTTGCCCCATTTACCAGCCATACTAACATGTTATGAGGTAGGCCATTGATGAGAATGCTTACAACATTACATTGGGTTATCCATTAGGGATACTGTTCTATTAAGAAATTGTTACTTCTGCCTGAAGTTGGCATACCAAGGGACTTTAAACAAATTCAGGGCAAAAAAATGAAATGTGGTGTGTTAATGTACTCTGTAATGAATTTATCAAATGACTTGTGTATACATTGCAATTTTGACACTCGTTTTGCCTCCTACATGCATACGCCATAGTACCAGAGATTTGAGATCCCTTGTCCTTATGCCCAAACTTAGCATTTTTTTTTTTTTTAAAGTCAGACCTTGTCAAAATTATACAAAGTTGAAAATAAAATTTAAATTTTAGGTCACACAGAAATCATCAAAATTTTAACAAAGACAATCAAAACCTGAGATAAGAGAACATTAAGAATTTACAGAAATAATAAATGTAATAATCCAGCATTTTCAGATGACAGTTCATATTAAGCTTTTTAAAGCCAAAGAAACAGCCATTAGATTATCCTTAATCTTGGGGCTACAGAATTCAAAAAAGGAATTAGAAAAAAAAGCAATGAAAACAAATTTATCACACCTAATACAATAGGAGTATTGTACAATAGGAGTACAATACTCCAATACAATAGGAGTATTGTACTCCTATTAGTAGTATTGTTAGAAATGGACATAAGCTTATAAACTGCAACTGAAGCTCAGCTCTACGTGTTAGTACAAACCAATGTTCATATGCAGTTTAAACTAACCCTTGTTACTTGTAGTATAGGGCCACTGAAGAATTTTGACAGTTGCGTGATGGAGGAAGAGACTGGAAGCAACAATATCTTAGGACTCCTACATCCAGATTGGCTCATGGTCCTACATTCGTATTTCAAGCCCTACACAAATGGCTGAAGAGTGGTTAAGCTCCCAAGCATTTTCAAACCATTGTCCCCCAAGGGTACCATACAATCCATTAAAACAATCACGAGTTGGCACATTTCTTTAAACACCACATATAACCTTTCCTTGCAAGCCTTAATACATTCCTTCCAACACTACTATCTCCTTCTCTGGCATGCCAGCTTTATGCTATTCTCTCTGCATGTTATTGAAAATTCTTAGAAAACACTACACACACTCCCTCTTCTTCCCATGTCAGTAGCTTTGAAGGCCTATGCATCCCCTGAGATCCTAAGCCAATTTCTTAACAAAAATCTTATTTTCCCTTGCTATTGTTTTACTTTTTCTCTTTGGTTCCCTTTATCACAGAGTGTATCACCCAAATGATACATGATGGTTTAAGTTATTTATGTATATATAGTAGTTAAGAAGTCTGGTTCTCAATGAATTTGGTTGACTGTTTAAATGACTTTAAAGCTGCCATTGTTGTGAAGATGGTTTGACCCAGTCAGATCTGAGGAGCGGATTGCCTGGTGTCTAAGCATCAAACGCCGACTGAAATTTTTACTTGCATAGGTGCGTTCATCACGCATCTCAGGCTCTGACAACTAAAAAAACTATTTCTCCCCTCCACATGCACCCATGCTTCTCTTTCCAAGAGATTATCTATTTGTAAAGACTTTTTAATAATACCATGGCTTTTTGAAGACTTATTGAAACAAATAGTAATTAAGAGGCCCCAAATTTACTGGAGCAGGTCATTAACAGCTAGAAGGTGTGAGGAGGTCTGTTAATTTCCTAGATAGTCTTGGAGAGACTTGAATAGAGTCTATTGAAATCCAAATATCCGCACACATGGAATATCAGGAACTGAGAGCTTTACACAGGTGCTACACAACATAATCATATACCCAACATAACATGGTAATTATTAACACTGCAGCAATATTTTCAGTGATCTCCCAAAAGACAAGATCAGTTTCTATTAACAACAAAGACAATGTTTTATTGAACAAATCTATGTACAGTACAAAAAGTTTTCAAAATGAAACACTACTGTTGATTTATTGCAGTTTGATGGCTCAGTTTTAATTTGTACTCTTATATAAAATGCAAAGTAAAATAATTTAACATTCAACAAGGAAGCACAAATTTCCTTTCTTGCTGAACCTGTAACAGCTTTTACAAATTAACAGAGTCCCAAAATGCATACACTGCATTTAATCAGAAAGGTGTTATACAGTACCAAATAAATTAAGAAAAAATAACACTACCACCCCATTGAGTCTTTCATCCATACCACTGGTGTTAAACAATGAAAGAAATGAGTACAGCTGAACCTTCAATGTGATAATAAAATCACAAAGTTTAATGTTATAAATTATCCAAACTATACAATTTATATAGTTTTAATGCATATGGCTAAATAACCAAAGTACCAGTGACCTTTCCCCACAGATAAGACCATTGTCAACCTACTTTTGATTTTTTTTTTTTTTTGTGAAAGGTGCCTATCAAGCGGCAACTCTTTGAAAATTATAACTCACATGACCCTTACAGTGAACCATGATCAAGTTAGAGCAGACAATCTTAAAAGCAAAGTCTAAATCCAAGTTATATCCACCTGGAAGAAACATGATTAAAATATGATTATCAGCATGAAATGCACAAACTTTGATCCAGCAAAGCTCCTAAGTTCATGTATAACTTCAGGCAACAAATCTGCATGCTTACATTACACATGCACTTCGGTATTCATTGAATCAAAGCAATACATTTTGATGAAGTCTTTCCAATTACACCATACAATGCTTAATGCTAGGGGACGGGGTGGGGAAGGGGAGGAACCTTTCCATTTTAGACTTGGAACCTTTTTCAGCCCTAGAAGTTGCAGACTCAATATCGAATAATATCCTACATACTACAGAATCCTAAAAAGCATGTAGAATAATCCCACTCATATTAGAAGTATCTTTTTGCTCCTAATTCAAGCTGCTTAATACTGCAACTAACTGAGTTTACCAATAGGAATTAGAGAACACTTTTTAAAAAAAAAAAAGACAATGTCTTTTGAAGTAAAAATCATTACTTAAAACAAAAGTGTTACCACCCGCTTCCTACTTGAAGTCAATTTAACATATTTGTGGTATCTGTTAGGTGATAGCTAACGTTCACCTACATAAGAATTCAGTTTTCCAGTTCTCCCAAGTACATATATGTAACACGTGGTATAAACAAATGGCGGTGTCCAAGAAAAGCATCTTTGAACAAAAGTGAGTTTAATGCAGGTACAAAAAATTATGGTCACAGTTTATGCATGTACATAGATGCATTTATCTACACACTTTAAACCAAAGAAAAATACAACTTTCAATCAATCATGTTTTAAAGCATCTTCAAACACGTGGAGCTCCAGAAAAAGGCAAAAAAGCACCAAAGATTAAAAGTACACTTAAAGATTTTACATATAAACATTTTTGTCATATCTACTGACTGAGGTTTTAGATTTTTAAAAACTTAATACTTTAAAATTAACCCTTATTTTTTCCAAATGTATTTAAGCAAATTCAATTAGATTAACAGTGTTAAGCAAAGAAAGGGGGGCCTGGGAACAGTCAAGATAATAATTGGGTCCTTAAAAATTAGTTGATAACTTCAAAGCAAAAAAAAAAAAATGTGAAAGTGCATTTGGCTGATAAGGTCCCCCTTAATTTCATGTTAAAACAACTTTTAATGTATTTATATATGTAAATATATATGTGTGTATATATGTGTATATATATTAATGATGCATTTAAATCCACTTTTTGCAGCTGCAAAAAAATTCTTTGGTGCCTCAAATGTTATACAGATCTAAGTGGGCCAGTCATTGGTATTAATGTAATGCACACATACCTGTGATCATAATTTTATAACCTTTCACTTTAAGCCAACTCAAAGTTAAGGCATAATTTTTTTAAAATTCAAAAAAGTACAATTTTGAATGTGTTCTTTTTACCTCCTAGGAGGGGAAAAGGAAGCAGAATTAATGCAAATATCTGTTTGATTCACAGAGGATTATTAGCAGAGGCATTACTGAACTATTACGTTTAAGTTCCAGAAATATTTAAAAGCCTATTTTACAATGAAATCCTTAGGTTTGCAAGAGTGAGTCACTGCTACAATGAACAGATCTTTTATGCATCTCTCGATTTTTTACTCATTGGTTATTACATATCTGTCAAATTAAGCAAGTTCTTAAATATCATCTTACTATAGCGTACACACATTGTCCTGAACTACTCAGTAAGCAAACTAGCTGAGCAGGAACAGTTGGTCTTTGCTGTCCTACATTTCTGTGATGACTCCATCTGTACCCACTGTTTTTCATGACTATACCTTCTGCACCTATGAGCACATTAACATTTTCAGCTAGTGGCACAGAACAGGATCCAAAATAAACATTTTTAAGTTGCACAGACAGTATAAGATAGTTATTAGAGGGTAAGTTAGCACGGTAAATAGACAGTCTGTATATTTGCCGCACTTCTGCTTGGGGTCAGAAGGCCAAAAGCTAAACAGATTTTTCATGTTCTGTCTTTTAATGTGATATACAAAGGTGAAGGACTGAAATTTCCTATCTTCCCAAACTCTTTCTAGTTCTTTTTATGAACAGCCAACTGCTGGATAAAGTGCTTAGCATCTAAGTCCAATGCCTTCACTAGTCTCTGGGAATGGCTCTGGGAATGGCTGCTTTTTCAAGAAATGATACTACATAGGCTTGCAATGTTTCTTAAGGCAGAATTGTTGCATGTTTTCTCCCTTGCTTTAGACAGTAGATAATTACTTACAGTACTGAGTTGTGATCTACCACTGCTAAGCAGTATCACATAGGTGAAACAGGCTCTTCCTGATCCGTTTTTCTGAACTGGCCTTTCTAATTCAACACATGCACTGGTTTTGTCTGTCTTCATTAAATTTTTTTTTTTTTTTTTTTTGCCTCCAGGAAGCCATTTTTCAAGTTCTTTTCAGTCCTATCAACAGCTGAATGACCTCTCTCTGTATTTGCATCAAATTAAACTCTGCCCTGCTGTGCAAGTTCACCCCTCTTCACACTGTACTTGTTTCAGTCTGCTTCTGTTAAGGTCCACGCAACTTGTGCATGTACTGCTTGCATTAGTCTTCCTGCACCTAAAACAGATGTTCTATATGACACTTCCCAATAGCCTTAACATACTTTTTACCCTAGCCTTGAAAAGGACTTATCCTGCATGTATCCAATTTCCACTGTGTATGACTTACACACTTGATATCATACCAACACACTTTTCTTTGCATACTCTGTACTTTAAGAGTTTGGCCATTAGAGCTGCATTCCATCTATCTTAGATTTCTCTCTACATTCCTCTTTCTGGAGGAAGCTTTCTTTCTCAGTACAAATTTATTGATAGTGCCATGTTTTTTTAGCAGGTAATGGAATCACATACTCAGACTCTGAAAAAAGAATGCCTGGTTCCTCTGTCCATGTCTTATATCATAATTACTGTGATACTTTAAGTGATGGATGGAAATCCTCTAACCACACATGAAACTTTTCTAATTAAAGCAGCTTAAGGTATCAGCTGTTTTTCTTTCCATAAGGAAATTACCATACCCGCTCTCTGTTTGCTCAACTGAATGCATTATTTTCCTTACACTTCCACGTTAGAAAGACTGTGCCGCTAAGCTTCAATCACACATTTGAAACGAATGTGGCTTTTCGGATTACTGGTACTTTGGGGATTTTGTAGCAACCTTTCTGGACTCATAACCTGCACAGCTCCTATTATTCCTCTGTGAGTTCTATCTAGAAAATGTGCTTTGTCTTTATCAAGGTCATGTTTCTCTTTAGTAATTTGAGACTGCTTTGTGATTAAGGCCAACTGGGAAACAAACTGATGCTTCTTCATGTAGTGTTTTCTTACACCACTCCTTGTTTGATACATTTTCCCACAACATTTAATCAGGCACCTGTAAAACAGAATATGTTGGTTATTCATTTTTCATTTTGGTCTCATAAAAATCATTCTTTAAACTGGAACATTGCTTATGTTTTTCAACACGTCTAGTTTGAAACATGCAAGGAAAGATAGAGAATTATTCCAGTCTGGTTCATGAAAAGTCCTTTCCATTAGAGCTGCCTACCAATTTTCACCACCTCTTTCTCATTCTAAACAGGAAGCATGACTAAACTGATCTTCCCATTTAGTGCAATATTGTGATTCAATGTTCAGGACCCTAGTGATTTCAGTGACATTCCTCTTTTTAAAATCTGACATACTACAACTGCTTAGGAGTTATATGTGTCACATCTATTAGGTTGCCTATTTCAAGAGCCATTTTTGATTGGTATTCACCTCTAACCAAATACACCCAAAAGAACCATAAGACTTACTTTCATCATCTGAATCGAATCCAAAGAGCGTCTGACATTTCTTTTGTGCAAGGTGAGCCTCAAGTGCTTCCGAATTACAGTAGATGGTCAAGCAGTTGCCACATCTAAATCTTTCTGCTGATTTGCTACAAACTTTGTCTTGCTCAGAATGAGCATCTACTTTATCAGTCAAAATTTTTCTACGTTTTGGCATGCTAATGTAACGTTCATCAAGGTAACTTGGAGGCAACGGTCTAACGTAAGGTTTTGTTAAGATGACACCATATGAAGTATTCTCTGTTGTCTGATTTGGTTTAGAAGGTAACTGCGAGGCAGTAGCATTATTTTGTGGTGTATCATGACAGTTCTGTAAAACCGGTAACACTGACCCATTTTCTGTCCTTGTTTCATCCGCAACTCTGTCCAAAGCTATTTCTGATGACTTTGATGATGTCTGCTCCAGGTCACTGTGTCCATTGACTAGTTGGTCGGTAGCAACATTACAGTTTTCAGAATTTGGCTGTAACACAGATGTCTTTTGGTCTATCGAGCTTAAAACTGTAGCACTACCCTCAGACGAGCTTTCATTTCCATTCTGAACTACATTATTTGCTTTCTTCTCAACACTTTGAATGTAAGTCTTTGGTTCTGTAGAATCCTTCCTTGACTTCCAAGTTGGAATTGGTAAATCTACAGTTTCTGTTTCATTAATAGATGCATCATTTTCTTGGTAACTACAAAGCAGTTCTGAAGAGTCATCCGAAGAATCTTTTTCACTTGCCTCTTCTGAACATTCTGGTGTTTTATTTAAATAATGCTGAGCCTCATGTTCATACAGCAAAGGGAGCTCTTCAAATAGCTCACAGCACTCTGCAAAATTGCACTGAGCTTTAAAAACACTATGACTTTTTGTATGTTCTGCCAGCTCAGTTGACAGCTTAAATCTCTGATTACAATTAAAGTGTAAACAAAAGTAAACATTTGGATACACATGTCTCTTCAGGTGGTCTATAAAATGTTGGGAATCAGCAAATTTTCTCTGACAGAACCGGCATTTTCCTTTATTCCATTTCATTATATGTTGCTGCACCTTTAAATCAGTTGGATGAGCTTTTCTTGCGTGTTTATTGAGGAATCTTATCTTTTTAAACACCCTAGCACAACCATTAGCAGGGCACTTAAAGCTTCCTTCTTGATCCATAGCATCCATGTCTTTTTGAGGGCAAAAAGCTCCATTTACTTTATGAAGGACTGGCGACTCTTTACTGGAGCTTTCATCATCTTCCTGCAAACTTTCTGTATTTAAAGCGTCAGGGACGTTATTAAAACAACTGTCACAACTGCTGTTTTCAGTAACATCATCCTGGTCACTTAGATGATTTTCCACCATATCGAATATCTGTTCAGTATTCTCTTCTTCCACATCAGTACTTGGAACTGTTGCAGTCTCCAGGTCGTTATCTTTAGAGCCATCAGAATTCCCATTTTCAAGAGAGACAGAAACCTCAGAACAGTCTAGTTCATTAAAAACAGGAGTCTCCTGACTGTCCTCCAGAACTGCAGCAAGATGCTGCCTTTCTATCTTTCTGACATGATTTTTTAAGTGCTTCAGCATAAGTCCTCTTTGCCTGAACTTTCTGCTGCAAAGTACACAGGAAAAACTGCCTTTTTTCTGGTGAGCTTGGGCATGTCTCACAATGTGACCGCCAAGAAATTCCTTGTTGCATATCACACAGCGGTGCTTCGGTACAGTATGATCTAACATTTTAGACGTCTCAAGAGCTGCATGGTTCTTTTTGGCATTACCTTTAGACTGGGCTTCAGACAGGTCTTCAGTGTCAAGCTCCCCATTACTTACATCTGTTAAGCAGACATGGTCTTCACTTAAAGCCTTATACTCTGTTATCTTCTCTGTATTTGCAGTAGAGTTTTCCAGTGTACTTTCACTTAAACCAGCAAAGGCTTTATCCCCCAATAATGCTAAACAATTCTGCTTGATCATCAAGAAATTCCAGAACTCAGGATCAAAAAACAAACCTTTTTTTAAAATTGGAAGTAATTCAAAACGTACACGGTTTTGAACAGAACTAGTGCACTCATTGTATTCTTCATCTGCACATTTATACAAATGTTCAACAGTGTAGTATGATTCCAGGGTGCGCTCAAGAAAAAAGATCGAAAGCGCACAAATTCTGAGGATCTCCAAGTCATTTGGCAAAAAATGAGCTATCGCTTTATATATGAGACTTTTCATGTTGGGATCTTCACGGAGGTCCAGCTGTAGGGCGCATCCACATATCTCAACGCATATCTGAAGACCATCTTCACCAACCTGCAGAAAGGAAATGACAGTACACAGTATTGTATAATGTTATTTTCCTTATGGGCTTGCAGAACTCTCAAGCTTGAAAGTCGAACAAAAAAAAAATCAAATCAGACTCAAGAAAAATAAACTAACTAGAACAAACAGAGCTCAAGCGTCAACATTCCATGCATCTATATTCATCTACTTGCAAAATACTTAGGAGTTCAGGAAACTTCCTGCTAGTTACAGAAAAACTGCAAAAAGTAAACCTTGTCTAAAAGCATGTGTATTTTAAAATAACGCTAAACAAGACCATAAAATATAGGTAAGGAAATGCCCATGAATGCTTGGTTTGCATTGAAGGCTTTGCAGCTACTGCCAACAAAGCTACAGACATTTTTGCCACGTGCAGTTCTGTAGTTAGAGACAATTAATTATTTGGGGATGCCTTAGTGTTTATAAAACAAAACAGCAGCTAATCTGTTCTGATCCAGCACCTGCATCCTAATTAACTAAGCTGTTTCACTATAATTGGACAGTTACTCTAAATTTTGCCCCTGTTCTATCTCATTTAACTTGTACTGCAGAAAAAACACAAGCTATAAAGCTATACTGTCCTCAGTTTTCAGTGATGATCAACAAAGGACAGCATAACTACCCTCAGTCAAGCAGTCTATGAGTCCTGACTCTTCAGCACTGACAAGCTATCCTTCCAATTAGCAGAATTCCCCTTCCACGCTCTAGGCTAGGGGCTCCACCATGAAACTTAAAATTGGGAGGAATGGTCAGAAACATACTGCCCAATGTATTGCTGCTTAAAGCGAGAAGAATTACAGGAAAGTTTAGGTATGATTAATACCAACCTATACTTAAAAGCATGTTAACAAACATATATACAATGTCATATTTAGTGGTCTATTAAAATATTATCATTCAGACAAATGAAAGATTAATTTTTAAAGACTAATGCACCAAGTTATTAAGTCATCAGAAGTATTTTAGAACATATACTGAGATTAAAGTCTTAAATAACAGCAGATCAATGCATTTACTTATAACTGTACAGTAGCACCTTTGACAAAATAAATTTATTGATTTGTGTAGAGGCCAGTACACTCTTCAAATATTTAGAGCATAGAATATGAAGAAGCTCCGTTCAATCAGGTTAATGATGAAAAGCAACATTTGCTTTGAAACAACCAGCACACCTGTGTGTGAAGCATTGCATATTGCACTAATTTTTTGCACTGTTTTGTACCGGACTGCAACATGTTAAGCATGGAATATACTACAATTCTCTGAAGCAAAATTGTGTCTTCTATTTTAGTCTAACTCTTTCTTCCTTTATGTTATAATAAGCACTTTTTCAAATTTTGTTGGAACTGGTCCAAGGGTTCAGAATTTGACAAGGGAGAAAGGCAGATATAATGAAAAGAAAGCAGGCTAAAAACAGCAGGTATCTTTCACAGTTACTTCATATATTTATTACCAATTTCCCCACTTCTTCTACAGGACGACAAATTTGCTACAACAGATAGAAAAAAAGGCTTATGCACAACAGAGCAAGGACTGTCATAACACCGAGGCCCATTATGAACTTGACAAAACTTCAACCTCTGTGTCCTTCCTTAACCCCTCTTCACTCCACAAAAAATGGTCACTACATAATATAACTGTCACTTCTCTCCGGTTTTACTAGTAATAAAAAGGAGGAGGAGGAGGGGGGAAAAAAACATAAAACTTACTTCATCCTTAATGACTTTCATGAAAGGGAAGATTACTCTGACATTTGTAGCAATTCTTAGAAGCTGGTAGCATTGGTCAACAAATACTTGTTTTGATGGGTTAGATTTAAGCTGCAATTTACTCCAAATGAAGATCAAGTCCCTATAAGTGCAGAACAAAATATTTTGATTAGATTGAGTTTTAAAGAACTCTACAGCTAAGCAAGATGTATTTCTATGAACAGTTATTTGCATTTTCTGTAACTAAAAACTTATTTTTGATATGTGATTTACACCAGTCTAACACCACAACAGTACACAACATGCACAATGGAAAATGCAACATAATCACTTTGTTAAAGCATTCAGGGTCTCTCCTATCACTGTACCAATTAAATATGCAACAAAATATTACTAGATTTAGTTTTGTATCAGAGAACAGCATAACAAAAGCAAGTGCTACAGCATCTAGCCCTTAACACCATTACTGCAATAAATGGCAGACTGAAGAGGCAAGCACTGTGTGCACTCCAACTGTATTTTGGGATTAAATTACTTTCAGTGCAAGGATGAGGAAAAGAAGTCTCTGAATGTGGAAAACCAGAGCATAGTAGAAAACTAGTGTCTGATACGTTGTATTGATATGAAATATTGATGTTTTCCAGCTATACACATTACAACACAATTGTCTTTTTTGACTGCTATCATTGATCTCTCTAGCCCATAGCAACTATATGAAAGTATTAGCCCCTACTGCTAAATACTCATATATCAACATGATGAAATAACATTTCTTCTGAGTGATGTAAGGAAGCATAAGAGAAGAACTGCTAGCCTCATGTACACGTGTTTAGTCTATAAGATATAGCTGATAGAAGTCTACAGCCAGTAAAAAGTTCTATGCTCTTTAATTCAGAGACTCTGCAAGGCAGCTGGACCTTTATTTAACTAAAACAACGTCAAGATTTACCACTACATCAAAGATTTTACCCAGAAGTAGATATGGTCAGGACCAGCCTGAAATCCTACCACAACAATACAATGCAAACAGGGCCCCGGGCCCACCTCGACTTTCATCTCCTGAAGGAACATGGTTTTTTTTTTTTTTCTTTTTTTTTTTCTTTCCACCAGTCTCCTCCCTCAGAAAACCCAAACCCAGTTACTGACAAAATATTTGGCAAATCTTCCAAAATCTCTAGTCTGTGCCAGGTACAAATCAGGAAAACCTTTTGTGACTAAGCTTGCCTAGTCATGTCAACGTCCGCACGAAGAGAAATGACAGAACTGACTGACACTACACCAACTTCACTTCTAAATTGAGGACAGCTCTATAATGCCACGTGACTAGGTGCTAATTGGGCCAGACATGAGATCTTGATTGTCTTCTTTTGTTCAGAACCCAAGAAAAGGGAAGTCAGGAGAAGCCTTAAGCTTACATGGGACAGACAGCTAAGAAGAGAAGTTCTGCAAGCCACTCTACACACAGAAAATTAGTCCAATAGGTTTTCTAGAGATACAAGCTGTTCACTTCCACTTTTACCAGGTCGCAAATCTAAATGTTTGAATGCTCTTTGCAAACCTTATGTGGAAGTCTGAAACTAACCAGTGTCTCCACATACCCAACCATTCATTTAAACCATTCATAAAATTCAGCAAAATTTTCAGCCTAACGCATGAAAGAAGGAAGGAGGCTGTTAAATAATAAAGCTGTTCGAACTCAATGCATGCTGCTTTTGAGCAGAAGAGCCTCTGTCCTTTATTCTGCTTTATTTCATACTATTTCAGAGCAAGCCATTTCAATGCTGACCCCAGAGAAAACTCAATTTATTTTCCTGATGGATTAGCAGCTCAGTGGCTTACGAGGTGTTCAGACAAGTATGAAGGCTGGCACAAGAAAAGAGCAGAAAAGGGAATGGAGAAAACTGAAAGCTGAAGGAACAGCTCCATAGGTAAAGAGCTAGCCATTAAATCAGTTTAACCAGCATCTGACTTGACCCTGAAGTGAAATATTTCAGTCTTATTCCTCCATGTAGCCACTGAGGCTCCTCCTTCTCAGGAGGATTTCTGACTGATAATCATTAAGGGTTAAAGCATTTTCAAGGAACTGATTAGATCCCATTTCAATAATTTACATGCTTTGGATACCAACTTTAATTACCATTGAAGTCAACCACATTTGGGACATTTGTGTATCACTGACCACAACACAGATAATATTTGAGATAATATAGCCAGGGATAGCTTCCTAATTGCTAGCATAGTATGCTAGAGAAGTATAGTGCTCCGTGGCATTTACCCAACTTCTTGGTTAGAATGACTTTGTTTGCACTCAGGCCTGTGCTTAAACGATTATTGACAGACTAAGGGCAATTTATATTGGTATAGCAAGATCAGAGAATTGGGTAGCTCTTCACCATAGGCAACCAGACATTCTAGCCTGTTAAATACTCCTCCGCTGCCCCACCCCAAATTACCACAACATTGTGTCCCGCCATCAGCAAGATAGTTTAGTCTGTCCTAGCTTACCTAGATCTAAAACCTTTGCTATTACTGTAAAGGAAAAGTCTGTCTTTCCTTAAATATAGACAGCACACCACCAAAATGCAGATGCTAAACAATTATCCAATTCAGTAACACTACCTAAAAGCCAAAGATTGATCGGATTTGTGTGTGTTTGGGCGGGGGGGGGGCGGGGGGATTATTGACATAAGAACTACTTGCAAACAGCCAAAACTACCTTTAAAGGCTGCCTGGCATAGAAAGCAAGCCATTCTGCTAAGCCTATCCCATAAAAATTTCTTGCTGTCTTTCTGAAGAGATAGACATTTTGAGAACGGTATTTTGATACAGGAAGGGCATTAATCACATCATCATGGACTGATCTATCAATACCTTGTACACATATTATTTATATATGTACAATATTTCTAGCAAGATTAAGGACAGCTTTTTTGTGATGCCTGTGTAAGGGGGCTTTCACTTCAGAAAAACAATTTGGATCATCTGAATCTAGGATTTATTCTTAAAACAACTGAAAATAGTTTTGGAACAGTGCTGCTCAAAGTCCATCTTTCACTGAGATAGCATGAGAAGTAATAGTTTCAGTTCAAAGATCTACTTCATATAGGCTGCTTCACATGACGAGATAACAATTATCTACTGTTTGCAGCTTCCTCATCTGCTTTGATATCTGTTATCTTTGCCAGTAGATTTCGACTTAGCCAGTAGATTTCGACTTAGCCAGTCTGCTAGATCTGCAAGATGCTCAGTCTTCAACAAGGCTACATGATTTTTGCTGTGCAGAGCACTGAACAAACAACAAAGACAAAAAAACAATCCTCTGGGGAAAAAGGCAAAATGTGAGCTAATTAAACCTGACTCCAAATTCTTCCAAAATTTGAATTATGGTATAGTCATCCCTTTTTGCTTCATAAGCTTTGTCCTGATTTGCTTTATCTGTTAAGCATTATGCAGATTTCTCCTCTTGTTGGGTATGTAATTGAGACTGCTAAGCATCAGTAAAGAATCAAGCAATTATTCTAGCTGCACAGATATAACTGCTCTAAATTCTTTCAAAGATTCTCAAATTTTATATTCTGAACAGAAATTAAAAAATTAAAAGAAAAATGCTTCTGTGATGAACAGATAACGAACAGTTTGATAGGCACATCTAGAATGTCATTGTTGATGTCCATTTTGCCAGAATATTATGACAGACATCTTGGTTTTAGTAACAGTTTTTACAATGGATAACGCAGAACTCACTGTTACGCAGCTGATAACATGAACATGCATGTTATTACTGCAGAAGGTATAAAAAGCAAGTTTTAACTCCAATATTTAAAATGCATTTCTGAAAAGACTGAAACCCTGAGAAACAGAAAGTGCTTTCCATATAACTGATTTTTGTGGGCTACATCTCGAGATTTCTTGATAGATAAGAATTCAAGTGATACAGCTTTTGGGCAGGAATTAGCAGAGCTGCCTTCCAGTTTGAAGTTGGTCCCTGGGCCCCAGACAAGCCATATACCTTTTTAGTTGAGCTGCTACACCTGTATTATGGGCACAGTCATGTCCGCCTTGTTCTGGACAGACTACGGATGAAAAGTGCTACAGAATAAATAGGTATTACCAATACTCTGTATTATACATTTATTTCATAACCAGATTTCCAGTGGTTTTCATTCAATAAAATCAATTACTTGTCCAATAGCTAAGAAAATTTTATTAGAGAAAACAAAACATTCTGTCCAATCTTCATTACTTCCTCTTAAAAAAAAAAAAAAAAAAGACAAGACATTTTATTTTTCCATTCCCTGAAAATGAGGAACAGGGAAATGCTTTCTAGATTCCATACTAAAATTAGTTTTATAACTAATCAGATCAGTAATTTGATCTCAAATAATCGGAAAAAAAAAATCAAAGCTTTGCTGACTGAGCTTTTTTGCCTCAACTACATTAGACCAATTAAGCATACTTTAGCAATGCATGTATACATTACTTTAAGTACAGAAGTTGTATAAGATCACCTTTCTTAGACATCTCTCAGACCTCAGAATGAAGTTTGTTCTGACAATTCTCTTTAGAGAGTATATATAACCCTAAAAACGTCCAACTATCCATTTGTGTGTACAAAAACATTCTTATTTAAATCTTTTATAGAGAGATACCATTTACCTTGTGGCTCTGTTTATGAAGTAATAATTTGCATAATTCATAGCATAGATTCAGAATAAGTTTTCTTTCCAGACACATTTCTAACATGAAACAGTTTGGTTATGAGTACAGTCGTGTAGCTGGACAGCAAAATATCTGCAGTGCCAAAGAGTCTACAGGCGGCTTATTGTTACACTTTGCTAAATAATAATTGCTATGTTTATAGGCATTTACAGCCTAAAGTATCTAAAGACTCACCCTTCTGTTACTTTGAAACAGTTAAGTGTTGAATAAGTGAAACAGTTAATAAGCACTATGTAGGCTGCCACTGTACAGGACTGTGTAAGAGGTAACAGGCATAACAGATGTATTCGGAACGTTTAAATGTCACGTTAGAATGTTTTTATCTGGTATTTTAAAGTTCAGCTACATCTCAAAGTTAAGATTACTTTCTTTTTAGTAATAAGCATTTATTATCTGCTAAGCTGCTTCACCAGAAATAAAGTATTTACCATATACAATACATGTCCCCATTTTGGAGCTGTGGGACTAGGAACGATTCACATAGTTGTAAGGCTAAGGTAGTCTTCCCTTCTTTTTCAGTGTTGCAGATGATCTCAATTCCACTCTTGCAATCAGTCCTCAACAAGTGCTATACAATTAAAATAAAATCAACTTAGATAAATTTGCTAACATGAAACAAATACCTATCAGACATTGTTATATTAAAGAAGCCACTGTAAACTTTAGAAATTCCTAGCAATAGGATTTTCTTTGGCACAACTTTTGTGTTGGTCTGCAAAGAGAGACTTTAGACAGATTAAGAGCTCTTCAGTATTTTTTTTAGAGTAACAACAATCAGCATAATTGTCAGCATAAATTGTCTGATACACGAAAGCCTTTTTGGTACAAAGGTAGCCTGTTTCTTAAATGAGGTTAAGAAAAGCATTGTTTTGCAGTAAGTGCTATCAGTGGTAAAAGTATGACCACATTTAGCTATAGGGTGCTATTTTACATACTGGGGCAACAGTAAAGAATCTTTGTTTAGCTAACAAGACTAAACAGTGTCTAACACACCTGACTGGCATCAAGTATGTTTAAGTGCTTTTGCTAGCCCCATTATAAAATAATAGTCAACAGACTGAAGTTACAAAATATCAATGATGTAAGTTATTTAGGGAATATACCTGTAGGCAAACTGGACCAAAAAATTGCATTTAGGTCAACAAGATCTGTAGTTACTTACATTTATCTTTTCAAAGCTTAAGTTACTGAGTTAAGCAACACCAATCTAGTTGCCTGATTTTATGACATCTGGTGCTACAAAAATAGAGTTCCATATGCTCCTTTTGACAATTTGTATACAGTAAGTATAATGTATCACTTCATAAAAAAATGTATACTGACAAACAATACCTCCTGGAATAGCTGATCTTCTAATGGTGACATATAAAGACAGGTGAAAAGAGCTTGATGGAAATACAGATCTTTACTGATATCTGGATGATTTATGCAAGATTTGATAAGAGCCATTGCCTCAGGGATGCGTTCACAGGCAATAAGGTATCTGGCACGTAGTTCAAAGAACAGTGGATTTTCAGAGCTTAAATATTTGTTAACTGTACAGAAAAGAAAGATTTAAAGGCAATTAGAATATGAAGTCCAAACAATATATATACTTAAATTTAATGTTGTTTTTATAGTGCAATGTCAACAAATAATATATAAAACAAAAGGGTCTGCCAAAGAAGCTATTAAATATTTAGGTAAATATCAATAATCTGTCTTTCTGCTTAGAAATAAATTGTTATTTTTCTTACACCAATGATTAACTAATTCAGTATTTTGTTCCTAGTAGATCAGCACAAGGTGCTGCAAAAAATTAATAAAATAAGTACTATTTAGAAGTAGATATGAACATTTTCCAGAAAGAAAGTCCCTCCCCTTCTCAGCACTAGAGTCTGGCTGATTGTCTGAAGTATAGGATCTACATCACTTTCCACACTATAGCTACAAATGTTCAAAACAACTCACGATACTCCTTACCCATTAAAATGCAAGAATGTGGAGGGAGAAAAGTTCCCTACAATTCACAGGCTGTTGCTTTGAGTAGCATTGTACACCTTGATTTTGCTTGGATAAGCAGAAAGTGCCCCCTGCCCCCCAAGTCCTGCTGGACGCAGTTCTAAATCTAACTGCCTGAATATCTTTCAATTCTAGCCCCAGATTTTGGAAATCTGCTTTTCAGAACTAGTAACTCTAATCTTAAACTTAAAGCTACAATTTTAATGAAACTATTGCAATTGAAAGATAGATACTTATAAAATACTTAACGATACTTATGTAATTGGGAAACAGTGAAATATATAGACGATGACATGCTTTAGAACTCTAGTTGAAAAAAATGATACAGATTCTAGCATCTCTAACGACTGACAGCTAAAATATCACTCAGAGCTATCAAATTTCAAGATGATGCTTTTATTTTGAGAATTATTTGCATCCTGTCAAGTAACACACAGTCTAAGATGTTAATAATGTGTTAATATTTATGTAATGCATTGGACAATATGGCCTGATCCTCTGCTTATAGTCTCAATAGCTACTTTAAGACAGAAATAGTCAAAAAAGACAATTTTTAGTGCATACACTCTAGCACTGTGTAAGTGTTCTATATGCAAAGAAGGAGAGATTTTGAGTTAAAGTCAGTGAAAGCTAGGAGCAAGCATGGGAAGTTTTTATGCTAAAAAGAACCTGCATAAAAAATTACAAGCAACTGAAAGCAACAATTAAAAGGAATCAAATCAAATAAATGAAGGTGGTTATTGAAAACCACAATCTGAAAAGCAAAGAGTAAAATTTCCTCTGAAATAAAGAGATTTGTGTAACAAGCTTTTGATTAAATACATATATGTACATTTTAAAGGACCCAGGGTTTGAAAGACATCCCTTATACTCGACCAGGGTTTGTCTCTGTGCTATCTGTATTTCTATGGAGGCTACCAATACGATGTACAAGTGAGAAAATGTTTAGGGAATATTATTCCAGGTGATAAGGTTTTTGATCAAATTTCTTAATGGATGTACCCTATAGGCTCCACCATAAGAGCAGATCTTATTCCCACTACCCACTAGCACTTCTGGGTACAAACACAGTAAAGAATAATACTGAAAGAAAAGTCAGTATTTAACAGTGGTCATTTAACTGCTGGAAAAAGTAATTACATAGAACAATCTTCAAAGGCAAATAAAGGTCCCTCCTTTTTTGAATTAATATACTTAGGATCATAAACCCAGTCATCAGTTTCATAAGCAAACTCTATCCAAGAGGTTATAGGATACTCATATCAATAAATTAGGCCAGGAATATTTAGCTCTTGTATCTCCTAAGGTTTTAAGAAAAAGAAAAAAAAGAAAAAAAAGAAAAAAGAAAAGCAGTACATATAGCAGTTGACTTTAACGTCCTTTTCCCTCAGACAAGGGGAGGAAAGACTGCAATCTACAATACTGCTTGACTTTTTAAACTTACCATTTCTATTTTCTGGGTTATAAACTCTTAGGCCAATATGCCCCTTCACTCCTTAAATGAGAATTTCACTACTGACAGCATGAATTTTCAGTGAATGGGTCTCCTGTATACTCCACAACTGCTCTAAGACCTTGAGCATCAACTAAACAACTCACAGGATTCTGCTCCCTTTCTATAGGGCAATGCCCTCTTTTTCCAAAGAGGCATTTACAACTGTTCTAACCCTGCAAAGCAAAAGACAACTGCCAACTGTAGTAGCATTTAGATAAATCTGCTGTATATTAGAAACACCTTGGGGAAAATAACATCTATTCTTGTCCAAGTAGAGTGTGCAGTCCCTTGCTTTAAAGTAATAGATATCAACCATAAACTCTGAAACTAAGTAACTGCTTACATCTGAACTTTTCCTCAGTCTGCTATATTTTCTTCCTAAAGTTCACAGTAGCCTCTCTCATGAAGTAGTCTCCCTAATCTATTAGAAGTTTACTGTTGCCATGTTTCAAGAAAGTTAAGGGTCAGATTAAACCCTGCTACTTTTCTTTAAAACTAAAGACTGCCTTCCTTTCCAGTCTTCTCAAAATGTTCTCAATTCACGTGCGAACAGGCACGACAAGCTTTGTCTTGGCCTAGCCTTCTCCGCCTAACTAATGAATCTAAGATAGGATAAGGTAGTTCCTATAGAATATATCATCAATTTGACTTTCACAAGCAATGGCTGGCGATTCAGTAATAACAGTTTTCCTCATTTAAAATAGCATCCCTGAGAGAACAATATGGCCAAGTTTTAAAATATACACCAAATCCTGTCAGCCTATGAAGAATAGATAAAATGTTTGCTCTGAGTCAAACTTCAGGAGAACCCAATTTTAGAGGAAGAGACAAAAAAAAGCTTCCAAAAAATATCATCAATAATAAAAATGTTTGTCATTACAGATGAGATATGACAAAGGTGCATGTGTAAATCTGAAGACAAAAGGATGAAGAATACCTCAGAAGAGGGGAAGAAGATGTAGCCTGCAACAAAAGGAAACAAAGATCATCTAATGACTACAGGTCATTCTTGCTCTGCCAGATTAAAACTCAGTAAAGATCCTCAAACTGTTACTCACTGTATAGAGGCCTCATGCTGATAAAGGAAGTCAACAGTTACAAGGAAACAGACTAAACTTATTCCTTGCTGGAGACATGGAGACGCAACAGAACAGTTCTATTTACTATCAAGTCATAAGTACTTTTTTCTTTCCTGGGACTTCTCATTATTAGTTTTTTTGGATTACAACTCAATCTTCCATTTGAGACCTAGCGTTAGATCATAATCACCAAAACTTCTAGAGTTAATAGTGTGATACAAAGCAAGTAGGCGACTACTCAGACTATGTCGCCTGAGTGATTACCCCACAAGAGAGACATCGCTTGAGTGATTACCCAACAAGAGAGACAAAACAATTATCAAGGATTTCCCACTTAATCATATTAACTTGTTATTAAACCACATTCTGTAGTTAAAGAGGTGGCTCATTGAGCTATACTGACTTTACGGGCCTCTTCCTCCCACTGTAGAATGAACATGTTGTCATAAACACACAGTAACAAATTTGAATCATGCACTATATAATGGTAACTAGAAGAGAATAGTTAAAAAGAGTATTTTCTGTCACTATCAAGTGGAGACACATTTAAAGAGGTCCTCTGTGAACATTACTAACCTCTCATATAATATAAATCACTAAGCAAAGACTTACTTACTATAGTTTGGATATTTGCCATTTTTACTCTTATGAACTTCCACGACAATTGGGTTAGCTATATTTCCATGCACTGTTGAAAATGCTGTTTTATTCTGAAGCCTTAACAGAAATTTAACAGCACTCTTTCTCCTAGCCCCACATGGAGGAATTACACATACTATAGTAATAACAATAAAAAAAAAAAGTGTCAGATGCAGTCATAGACCTCATTCTAAACAGACTGGGAAAATAAAAGCCCCAAACTCAACTATTTACAATTTAAAAAACAAGAAATAAATGAGTCAGAGCACCACGAGACAAAATTACACATCAGGACCTCCACTCACCATGATACTTCAGCAGCCTAACCGCAGCCAAGTCTTTCTGTGTATTCTTTTGGGGCTAAATATCTTGATCTGATAATTCATTTTATAAGTGACAGTTCAATAGCCTAGTAATCTTATCACTATTCTATAAAAGTAAACTTAAACTACAAGCAAAAAAATGCAGTTTCCTTTTTAATAAAAAAAGGATGGGTAGCTACAACAAGAAAAAAAGGTTAGTGACCAACACCATATGACAACACCTGATCCTAATATGAATAATGCATAATTCAACACATTTTTCAGTACTCTAAAAAATTCATGTAGTAAATGAAGTACCTAATTCCTGTGATACAGGCTTTGCTTTAAGAATTGCTTGTAATACTGGGTCCTCCCATGGTCCACCATCTCGGATAATTCGAGTCACTAGTTCCAGGTTCATATTTCTGTATCTATTTAGAAGATTCTGACATTCCTATGAGTGAAAAATAAATGCATGAAGTTAGAAAAGAGAGATGTCTAACAATAAAGTTAAACCACCTAAAAGACTTAAAACAAGAAAATCCACATATGTTTACATATTTCTCAGTCAACAATTCAGCCTCTGAAGTCTTACATTGATTAGGCCTATACAAAGTCCTAAAGCAACAACTTTCATTCTCTAAAAACAGTAATATGCAAGTGTGGAAGCCAGAATGTGAACGTCCTCTATTGGCACTCAGTAAGACCATGCCATTTGTATGACACTAAGCAAACATCTTTCCTTGAATTTGGAGGTATTAGTGGCATACTCTGTGGGAGAAATCTTCACCTGATGCTAGTCTGGATCAATTTATGCATACTGACAGTGGGAATCGGGATCTGGTGACCGAGTCCAAACTCTATTGAGTTTTAAGGGGAAAATTTAAATTAATCCACATGAGTCACTGGGCCCCATGCAATCTCTTTTATCCAACGCTCTACATAGCATAAATCACGTATGCCTTCCAGCGCTTGCTTAAAATAATCTGGAATCAGTTATTTTCATATATGCCAAGATTCCTTCTATTGTTATTTGCTGGTGAAAACACCAACATTACTGTTAATCAATCAGCCCAAAAAGATACCAAAGTTTCAAAAGAAGATAAAACGGTGTTTTAATTTGTCTTTGGTTGTTTTAATTGTTCCTTTTGGGTTTTAATCTGTTGTTTCCAAAAGGGCTAAAATGACTATAAAACTGCAACTGAAAGATGGCTTCTATTCACATACAGCTTCAGATACCCTTTTTAGCTGTAAGTTCTTTTACCTTCAATTTCTTCTGTTATATTTAGAAGAGTACAACCAATAGTAAAGGACGATTAAGTAACTGAAACAATGCTTTTCACTATCACTGTGGTTATACAACAGATTCAGAAATTCCTTGTTAAGAAAATCATGTAAAGACATATTTTAATGCATTCATTGTTTAAAAGGTAAGGCAGTTGAGTTATACCACAAAAGCAGAGAAGCAAGTACTATACATCATACTTTTTCCTCAAGATCTCCGTCTGGTTCATACGCTGTCTTTGAAGAAAGGCACTTGAGACTGCCAAGATGGCATGTAATACTTATGCAAGGTGCCTTACCTACTCTTAGGGCTGCTAAAGCCACTCCTTGACCCCATTCTTCAACTAATTCTAATCATACACTTAATTGCTGCTGTTTTGATAATTAACATCAGTAGTGCTGACACATTAATTTGAAGCAGCAGTAGCAAACAGGTATCAACATAAATATAACAAAGGGATAGCTATTTCTCAAAATGCAGTTTCATTATCAGCATAATAGAAGAAGCAACCCTCCTTTTCATCCTTTCTTTCCAAACCACAAAGCTTTCTTTCTCATGCTGGCACAAGCATTTGTGTTTCCATGCAGTGAACTCAGTTCAGAAAACTGATCCATGTTGAAAAGCTTATCTGGCAAAAAAGGTTAAATTTTTAAAGCCAGGATCAGTGCTCTGATGTAGGTGTACCTAACCACACAAAAACTTACCCCCGTCTAGGCAAGAGTTTAGAAGTTTTAACCAATGCTAGTTTATGCTGATTTGAAGAGTTCATTAAAAGTTAGCTTTAATTTCAAGGTTAGTTTATAACAGCAGAGGGAAACTTCAGGTTTCATGCTGTGAACTGTTACAAGGCACTGGATGACAGTAATCTCTGATTAGGCATAAACCAGCAGAAGGCTTCCCATTTCTATATGGGAAACGCACAAAATTGTCTTTAATAGAAAGACTAGTACTACAAAGAAAGTGAATTGCATTTTACTTGGTCCAGATAGATTCAAATACAAATAATTATGGTGAACGCAAGAATAAATGGCTTCAAATTCGCTATATATAAGTAAAGCAACTATCTTCTTTCACTATAATGGCATCTTTCATCCAGGTTTAATTTAAAAAATTTCTTGTACTAAAGTAATATTACCAAAGATTTATAGGAAAGTAAGCAACATTACCTGGATTGAACCTAAAATATCTTTCAAAGGATCTTCATAGAACTCATCCTTTCCAAAGAACAGCAGCAATTCAAAAAAACTCCTAAAAAAAAAAAAAAGTAGTGACAAGTCAACCAAACTAAAAAAAAAAAAAGTTAATTCAAAAATAAAACAATCACAGTGCTATTGTTCTTCATAGTATTAAAAACAAAACAGAACTCTTATAAGCTGTGGACCCTTGCCCATCCCAACACAAGTCACTAAAAAATTTGGCTAACGCCCAGGCTCCCTGAAACACTACTCATATTTCATAAGCTTTAGGTTGGTCACTTGAGCTGGATTTCAGCAGTTAAGACTTTTCCCCCGCAAGCAAATTTTTCATCAAGCATGAAATCACAAGTAGCATCCATTCACAACTATAGATAAACTACCTAAGAAGTCCAAATCAACAGTAAAATATATTTAACCATGTTTAACCCCCCCCACACACCTTTGTCCTAACCTCAAGACCTCACAGTACCTGCCTGCTTTTCTCTCCCAATAACCACAACATCATCCATACTGCAGTTCCCCATCCACCGTTACAAAAGGGAACGTTCTTCAAAAAACTAAAGAACTTGTCAGATAGGTAGTAATTTTGTAGAAGAAAGAGGACAGCTGAAAAACTACTAGCGTGTGCACCATATATAAGGAACAACATTCAAAGAACAGTAATTTTCCTCAACAATTCATATTTTCAAGTATGATAAGCCACTTTCACTGACACATTTAGGCCATTTCAATCTGTCCTGACGTAATGCCCACTGAAGTCTCTCTAGGAAGAGGGGAAGAGAAAGTTTAAAGGTGCTACTAATTTCATATATCCCAACAAAAGCCTTTGAAGATTATTTGCAAAGATAGATTTGGTGGAAATATGCAAATAGACCTACAGTCACCTTCCGCATGACACTCAAATGAACTGATAAAACTCCAACTTCACCACAGACAGTTTTTAGGCACATCAGCTTCATGTGCAGCAACAGGAACTTGCATATGTGTCTTCAAAAGAGGCAAAAGATAAAGGAGCAGAAGAGGATTGAAGTGCTCAGCATGAGACTAGATTCAAGCTGAATAAAGTATCAATCTAACTACAGCTTCCATGTTTTCCATCATCTTAAAATAGTCGTCTGACTTTTCTTCTTCTTCTTTTCAATCAAAATCAAGGTAGCTGCATCTTATAGATCTGCAGACAGCTCCAGCGCACCTGCCATTGCTCTTGCCTTCAGCTTGAGAAATGTTATTGCTATTTGGAAAAAAGTTAACTATCAAGCATTACAGTAACGTAACCTGAAATTGCTAATTGGGATAGTTATGAGCAGCAGGCAAAAAACAAGCAACTGTGAGGGGGAAAACGATGATAATTCAAAGCCGAAGGAATATACAGTACTGAAATCACAACTGCTTGCACTGAGGGCATTTTAGAAACACGACTGAACAGCAAAGGCTTTCCATCTCATAACAGAAGAAAATATAAACAATTTTCTTCTTAACAGCGTTCCAGACATTTTACAAAATGAACAAGGAGAGTAAGGAGGCAGAGAGGAAAGAGGCAGAAGAGAACTCCTGAAGAACTTTCAGCACTCTTCCGCTTATAACTTTTGACCCAAGATCTTACTGATGACAGTTTCTTTCCTGACTAGAGCATTTAGTTTTTTGTTGCAACATCTGTTGAAGTATAAAAGGTAGATTTTCACAAACAGCTAGATAAGGAACTAGAAGTTTTACATAATTAAATTCACTGTGCAATTACCTCTCAAATTAAAGTCAATCTCATACCCTCAGTACATCTGAGTAACACCCAAAGCACTCCTATAAAGCAGAGCGCCTTGTTTTTAAATACAGCAAATCCAAAAGAGTTTAAAGAGTAGATTTAATTCAAGTTTTCTCTCAAGAACATTTTCAGAAATGCTGTGGATTAAAAGGCCTTAATATTTATATAAATAAAAGGAAGGTTTGTATGGGAAATAACTATGGAAATAATGAAAGATTATCATAATGGAGTATAATTTAAAGGAAGCATAATTTCATCTAAGTTCTTTCCTAGTCAGTGATAAATTATGTTAAAAACAAACCTAGTAAATTTCAGATACACTAACTTTTGCAGTCTTACGTTCAATGAAAAGATTTTTCTCTAGATGAGGACCTCAAATCTCAACTCAAGTAGGGAATTAAAAAAAGAAAGTTCCCAAGTAAAATACTTTGTTCTGAACACACATTATCTCGTTTCATGTTGATAAACAGAATCATGCAGTACATTTCACTCTCAGTAAAGGTCAGGCTTGAGTCCTGTCATGATTTGGAAAGCTACCACACTGGAACTTAAATAATAATCAGTTAAGATGAAATAAGTTCTAGCAAGTGATGCATGCATTGGTTGGTTTGTTTGTTTTAATCAATTTAAAGAGAATATTGACAAAAATCTGCACATAAACAGTCAACTGTTAACAAGTATAAACTACATTCTTCTTCCGTATCAGTGCACCTGCTTCACACTATTATCAAACTAATAAAGGAAGCTATCAAAAGATTGAAGTTTCCTAGTCACCAGCCTCCATTCAGGCAGAATTACTGTAGCCAATTCCAGCATGGCCCTTTCGCCTTAGAACAGTCTACAGCATTACACACCCACATCTACCCATTCATAGCAACGGTGCTTCAATTTGTCACATCATCTCTTCAGATATTACAGGCATCAGAAGACTGCCCAGGAACACTAGTGTACTGGCATCATTATTAAAAGCCACTGAGGTTAATGCAAGTACAGATGCTGCTTCATTTGTGATGAATACCACGGCTAACAAGTACAGAGAATGCAATAGTCCCTGATTTTAATAGTTTATTGTCTGGTTACCAAGGAAACCTTATTTGACTAAGACAATATGGGGTCAGGCAGATTCTTGTTCTCTAAGAACTAGGACTTAATAAACACCAAATTTTCAAAGGTCAGATTTGAGTAAGGTTTCCCAGGTAACTAAGTCAGTCCCAGGATCACTTTAGGATATCACACGCAAAACTAAGCCAATCAAGCAGAATCAGAAGGAAAAATAAGCTCACTGCTCCTTAATCCTAGAATGGAAGAAAAATTTCAGTAAGTAAACCCAGTTCCAAAATCCAAGTACACAAATTGAAGACAAAAGGTGACAGAACTTAACGATCAGTTCACTTTCAGACTCTCAGAAACAGGATCCTCCCTAAATATAATGTAAATATCAGAATTTCTAGTTTTTTTAAAAGATGCTCTGTCATTTAAAAGTATGATTTGATCTTCATCAAATGAGTTTCTTTGCTAAAAACTTGTGAATAGAGATCATCACCTGATGTAACCACTACTCATTCTCTGATACTTGAGCACTCCAGTTAAAATAAATTTAAAAAAAAACAAACTGATTCCATAACTACTTTCATGTCTATGAATTCTTCCCCCACCACAGAAGAGTAAATCTCTTTGGTGAAATTTCACCAACACTTTAAGATGTTAGATATACTGACAAGTGTACAGGGTAAAGCCTGGAGATCTATGTAATTAGTACCAATAGCCCAATGATAGCAGAAAGGGTAAGCAATCTAGTCCTCTGACCAAGTAACCAAGAGAGAAAGGCTAGGAAGCATTCATTTCAGATGACTAGATGACTGAGTGTGAGACACAACATTCTAAATTGAGATATCAAACTATATTTGAAAGCAATGCTCAGCAAGAAAGCTGTTTAACCTGCTAGACAAATAAATTCTGTTTACTCAAACAGGATTAGCAATAAAGCTAGCTTTCATTTTTTTGTCTCCATCTGCTGATGTGAGGATAAAATAAGTTCTATCTGGCCTAAGGACCTATAACTCACCAAAAGATTTATTTTTATACTTTTATTTTAGATTTTTAGAGCAAGTGAAAAAACCCTGGGACTTCTGTTACCTGCTGATCATTACCCAGACACTTTTATACCACACATGGAAAAGGGCCAATTACTATTGCATCAAAAAAAAAAAAAAAAAACACCAGAATTACATCAGGATGTATGATCTAGCACTCTGCAGTTCTTTGTCATATTGAACATGACTTCCAGTCAATTAATTGTATAACAAGTCATTCTCATGAGAGGATTCAATCATAAAAACCCATTTTGAAGTTGATTCATCTGTTCAACACTAAAATAGTCTTATTTACCTAATTATATCACTAGAGGTGGAATAGTAGAAACATTAGATAAATTTGATTATAAACGTGTCAAAGGTTGGTCTGCAAATATTCCAAAATGAGATTTTTCCAATGAAAAGTCTATAAGGGGACCACTTGACATACTACTTAAGATATTTCATTTTGTAAAAAACCTTTGCAACGATCTTACGATACTTGACTTGAATAGTTAGCAAGGACATAAGAGAACTAAACTTAGAGTTTTTGTATCCTCACTCAGGAATTTTTACCATCTGTAAGTTGATTCTTCATAGTTAAGCAGCCTGGTAAAAACCACTCTTGTAAGTTCTCTTCTGAGATTCTATTGCCATTGTAGAAGTACAACACTGACAGTCTATATCGTAAATGAAATAGAAAAATTAGATGTACTTACAAAGCTAGGCTACTCAAAACATATTGTACGTGCTCACATTCGGCTGGGAATGATACACAGGCAGATGTAAAACAACAGAGAGCTGTCTGAAGCACCTGAAGCTGAGGCAAAGGAACCTGCCATCTTCCAGCATAGTCTTCCACAACCTAATGACAAAAACATTGAAATCTGTATTATAATAGAAAACAACTCCCTTTAGTCAATGATAATAAATAGTTAATATGGTACCTGCTTTGTCACCCCTTCTTCTCCCTCAGGAGCAGGGTTTGTACAGAGTAGCCACAAAAGCCCCATTCCACAAAAACATAATCTTGATTATTTTCTGTTTCACCAAAAAGTACATAGGAAGAAATTCTTTATGTCCTACAGTATAAAGAAAATATACCGAAAAGGACCTTCAGCTGATTCTTTTCATAGGCTGTCAGGAAATAGTTTCTTCTTATATAGTATCACAGTAGTTATTACAATCTGGATTTAAAAACAAGTTTTTATTTTGTAACAAGATACAAATTAGAAAGTCTACAATAAAATGTAGACGTTCCACTCCCAACAGACTTTCAAAGAGAAAAACAACTAGCCTATACTCTTCTCACCTTTGTATCAGCAAAGGTGAGAATACTAACACACAGTCACTGCTTGCTATTGGATCAAATAAGTAAGTTCTAAGGCTAATCATATCTTGATCCACAGTTATGGAACGGCATCACCATTTATAAAGGAATAGAAAGGTGAAATATATGTATTTGAACAGAGAAATCTGTTAAATCTTTGCCTGGTCATCCAGTCAATCTTGTTCTCATTAATAAATGCAGGAATGCCTACCTTTCTGGTACTGCCTATGCCCACACTGGGAGAAGTTCAAGGACCAGGCACCATTTGATATTCTTAAACAGGTGTTCCCACACTTAAGTCCTCTGAAGGGCCCACTCTAGTAAGAGAGCTTCACATAAAAAACACATAGCACTGAGTTCAGGATGAAGCACAGCTGTCACAGCTATGAAACAGGTGTTGGTAGAGGCACCCACTAGTTCAGCAAGTCATTATACTGCACTCCCCCAGTAAGGAGAAAGGAAGGGCTTTGGGTCTGCTCTCCTCCTTTAATCAACAGCCAAGATGCAACTCATAGACAGCACTCTGAGCAGAGATTGAAAAGCCTGTTTCTTCCACTTTCTGGCACATAGCTCATCTCACTGCACTATAGTCAGGCTCCTTTTGCTCACTTACTGTTCTCATATTTTTTCAGCACAATGGCACAGCTTCAACAGAAGCAGAAAAGAGTAACCTAGCCACCCTCTACCGCGCAGGGCACTCTTCTTCAGCTGACAAAACCTAACTAAACCTGAGAAAGTGAGAAGTGGGCACGCAGTGAAACACCATGCCATCAGCCATGTTTCAAAAAAAAAAAACAAAACAAAAAAAACCCCACACACTGAGGCACTCCAAAGCATACAGAAAGAGCAGGTATAACTGGCACCAAGAAAGCTAAAAATCGCAAACCCTAGTTACATATGGGCATCTACCTCAAGAACCAGGATCACTAACAAAGCATAGATTAAGCAAACAAACAAAAAACTAAAACGAACAAACAAAACCCCCACAGCTATATCCCTCTCCAGGATTTCTTTCTGTCACCTTTAAGTTCTGTGAATCCCTCTTAGATCTGTCAAATTCCCCATCAGCTAAATGCAGGACTTAAAACCCAGGTTAAGGGGCCTACACTGTTAGTTCCACAGCTTGGTGACCAGCTTTAAGGCTCATTGCAACATGCATAGACCAATGTCCCATTTCTAAAAGAGTTTGGTAATAGCTGTTTCAAAGTAAAGCAATTATGGATAACACAACCAGTAAGTTTTTTTCCTTACTACCAACAGTTGAGACTGACTTGTATTTTGAAGTCATATTTTGCCTTCCTGCCAAATTTACTTTAATAATTCCTGTTTGAAAACCTATTACTTTTAATGCAGCAAATACTTAACGCAACTGAGAACAGAATTAGCAGTCTTGTAGATAAATTCTCTTCCACTTACAAGGAGGAAGAAACACTGCCTCACATACCTACTGCAAGTTCTCTGCAATGCTTTTAACAAAGTCCCTTCCGCAGGAAATCACAAACACCTTAAGAGAAATGAAGCAGGCAGAGAAGGTCCTTTTAGTAGTTTTAGCATCTAATAGGTTAAAGATGAAGGTAGCAACAAACCAGTTCTCACCATGGCATTCTGCAACATTTTGTGTTGAGAGGCACAGTACAGTTATGTTCATAAATTAGAACAAAATGAGGCAACATTCTGGGATGATACTATTATTTTTCTCAGTAGCATAAAGCGCTAACTGTAAAGAACTGCAGAAAGGATTTCCAATAGTGAGCAATGAAGTTCAGTGCAGATAAGCGTACAGTGATACTTGAGAAAAAACAATCAAAACATTTTTAATATAATGGCCTTCAAATTGACAATTACCACCTACATTGTCTGGTTATGGTAGATGTTTTCATGAGACAATCACCTCAGCGCTTACCAGCAGTGGTCAAGCAAGCAAGTCAAACGTTAGAAGAGTTAGCACACCCCCCATCTTTAAAATTGCATGCTGTTCTAGTTCATTCCTATATTAAAAGGGGATACAGAAAGACTGGAAAAGCTTTAAAGAAAGGTAGTGAATGCTAAGTAATGGAATAGATTTTGTGCAAGGAAGCAAACTAGGTCACTTTCACTTATAAAGGCATGACAAGTTCGGGGGGCAGGCACATTGAAGCATGTGGCAAGCAGGATCAAATTAAAGGAGGTGATTCTTCACACAACGTGAGATTAAGCTGTGGAGCTCCCTACTACAGGGATGTTGCCCATGCCGGAAGTTTACATAGTTGAAGGAGACTGCATGAGATTAAAAACACGTCCATGGAAAGTTACTAACTACCATAAATTAGCTGAACTGAAATTGCTCAGAGAGGAGAAAGTTACTGTATTTGCCCACCTTGTTCTTTTGTCGACATTCATGACCTTTTGATAAGATTCCGATACCAACGTCTATATATTGCTTCTGCAAATGAGTCCTTGAAAACATTATAACAAAAGGAAGACTCATACTAAGGATCTAGTTAGACATAGTCTCTGAAAGGTGCAGGTCTGCTGCTCATACATTGTAAAAAGATGCACAGTCCTGATGTTTGCTCTTACGGCATCAATAGCACTCATCTGACCCAAGGGAAGCTAATTCAGGAACTACCTGGCAGAGGACAGTATCCTCTCCCAAGAATCCATCAGTCACTGTCTTCATCAGCTCCCTGAACAGGCCCCACCACCCTTTCAGAGAAGTCCCAGAAGCAGCATATGAAGAAAGACACCACAACAGTAGCACTCAGACAGTAAATGCGTTTGAGTTGTAGACTAACTGCCTAAGATTCACTGCAAACTCCCCCTGCCTGTCACCTCACACATACACACTCAAAACCAGTCAAGAGGAATACCAATGGCTTACTTTCGAGTTTTCATTTTCAGAGATTTTCTTCTGCAACAACTCCCTCAAGAATTCAGTTGGGGGTGCAGTTTGTCATATGCTTAAGCTCTTAATGCATTGTTCCCCATTTCCTAGTCTTTACCTTTTAAGTTACCACCATTCATGCACAAACTGTGTCTTTTTGTCATCCCTTTCTCATTCAGTTTAGATACAGAGGACTGAAAGGGAGACTGAAGCATCTTTGTCTTTTTCCTCTAAAACTGTTCAATTCAACTTCACCTTCTTCCTGTGTCAGCATACTACTACTCCTTCTTTAATATGTTTGAGTAACTCAATAGAAAAAATATATATAGGATTCAAACATGTCCCATTGATGGCAAAAGGTGGCCAGTTCCCTGTTAAAAAAAGTCTCCTAGTGAGTGTTTAAAGTGCTACATTAGAGCACACTCCTAAAGCAGCTAAACTCAAAAACAAAAAGGGAGTAATTAAAGACCTAAACCAATATAAAAACTCATTTTCCTTGCCTCTCAGGTATCCCAGTCACTTGAAACAAATTATATCGCTGCAAATAACTGTAGACTATTCTCAAATGTGTAAGATGCAAGAAAGAAAGTGTTATGCACTTTCATAACCTAGGTTATAACCTAAGTTTCATAACCCAACCATAAGTGTTATGCAAGATTGTTACAACTTTTTAAAAAATAAAAAACAACAAAAAATCCACACACAAAACAAACCCACACAACCTCCAGCTTTAAAGTTCTGTCATGACTAGGATTTAAATGAAGTTGCTCCCGTAACTTTTTTAAGATTTAACTAAGAAAGTCACAACAGCATAAAAACCACAACCCTTCTGTGAATGCTGCTGCTTATACAGTTATCCAAAAAGCACAGAGAATAAAGAAGTATGGTGGTGGACAGAACAGAATCAAATGAAAACACGATTTAAAGTGTCAAGCAAAGAAAAAGGGAGGGGGACCTAAAAAACAAGTTACCCGAAAATTAAAAATCATCATAATTAAAAGCAACACCTAACATGGTTGTCTGTCCAGCAGAAGTACCAAAGCAGCTTGGATATTCAGTTCTAGAAGAGTATGAGCAGAGCACGAGTAATGTTAAATTCACTCTATCTGGAAACGTCTGAAAAAATAATCAAACCTTTCTACTGTCTTTTTACCCTACTTCAAGTATGAGCAGCATTTTGTTCTGTTTCCACATACAATCAAGCTAACTACTTCTTTATTAAAAAGGATTTAATTATTCAAATAAAGGGCAGAAAAGGCCCTAAGATTCTAAGGCAACATAAATCATTATTTAATAGATACATTACTTAAAACTACTTTAAAGTAATAACTAAAAGATGGATGTAGGTAATAGCTTTACTATTTTTGCAGTTCACATGCAAATATTACATAAGGAGCTATCAAACATCATTAAACTTCTGGCAAAAGAAAAAACATCACCCAGCAACAGTATGACACATCCTATGAGACAAGCTTCTGCCAAAGCTCTACCCTTAAAGCTAAATGCTTTCCCCCCCCAGCCCTCGGTCACTGAAATCTGACTTATTTCCTCTGCTAGTTTGAAGTAGGAACAACACTTCGATATATGCATTCCATTTAGCTATCCAAAGAGCTAATTCCATACATATTTACATGTTTTGGAAGAGACAGTTGACTGTCTTGTAAATTAACACATGAATACACACGCCCAGATCACAAGTGATGTTAGTAAAACAAAATTTGAGTTTCGAGTAAACAAACTACAATACTTATTTCCCTCACCTGAATAACTGCTAACCAAAAGACCTTTAATTACTCTGATCTTTTGTCATCTAACAAGCA